TGCACATAATTTATTTTATGATGTCCTTGTGAAGGAGGAGTGACAGGCACTGATGGCAGCAGTGTCAGATAAGTATGATACTTTCTATGAACTGCAGCCAGCTCACCAAACCAGCGTGTGATTAATGACAGGAAAACCATGGCCTCGGTTCACTTCTCTGTCGATCATCTCTGCGGGTATGCACAGCATTTCCCTTTAATCCCTTGTGGAGGAGATTTGCTGAGCTTAAATTATGCTCAGAAATCCACACTCTGCGTAATACGCTGGGGGCTTGCTTTTACCAACAGTGGTATTGCAAAGACAAAAAGTAAACTGGAGTTTATCCTCACAGCAAGGCTTGCAGCCTGCAAAAAGGCGGGCATTTTCCTTCTGTCTGACTCAGACTTTCCAGACTGAAATGTTTTGGTTGCACATTAAAAGTAGCAAATGTTGTCAGAATTAGCTTTTAAATTCAACTGGAAACCATGCTACTCTCATATCATGGTTATGGCTAAACTTGCAAATGGGTATCTCCCAAGTGCAAAGAGACCATTTGTTTCTGCTTCTTTATCTCAATAAACTAGTGCTCCTTCTTGCCTGACATTGTATTCCAACCGGCACAACTCCCAGCTGAGGAAAAGCACTCACTGGTTTGCCAAGACAACATTCTTTTACATGACTAGCTCTTTCCTCTGTAGTTATTAATGTGTCACATATCACAGGCTCAGATTGTCTAATATTATGGGAAAATCTACTAGAAGGAGAGAAAAATAAAGGAAACTTCCAGGGAAATTGATTAAAGGGAAATAAGATATTTGACCCAATTTAGTGGAACAAAATACGGTCAATAATAGAAACTATTTAAATTCCTCAGATGGACAGACAGTTGTTTAGCAATAAGTTTTGTTTGTTTTGTTTTCTTACCACCTCGGAATATCTATTATAAGAACATGATTTTAGACTCCTTCTCTTGTGCCAAGTGCAATCATTTGCATTTTAAGTGATTTACGAGCATAGCTTAGTATCAGCAAACATGGACAATACGAAACAAGCACTGTGACACACTTTGGGAACGTTTAACCAGGATCCATTATAATAAAACCTGTGACACTGTGGATGATACTCCTAAACCTTACACTCACATCTCGCAGACGCTTGCATAAAGAAGTTTTTGGTTGCTGACAGCATGGAGTAAAACAAGCTGCTGCTCTGAACTCCCTTCCATGCTGCTCCTTCTCTGCTCCATGGACGCTTCAGTCAAGGAGTAAAAACACAACTCCAGAGATCAATCACTCACTGAGAAATGAGTTTCAGCTCGTAGTGAAAGATAAATCAGAGCAAATTAATAGAACTAATGTTACAGAAATTGTCTGAATGGTTTGAAATTAATTATCAGGTCTGAAAATACCAAACCACTTCGCAGGCGATTCGCCAAGTAGCTTGTTGTTACAAGGGCTGTATTTGAAGGGACAAGTTACCTCAGTAACCCTTCCTGCCTGTGGTTTCTCACCACCTCCTGTGATAGCAGCTCTGTGATAGCCCTGCCAGGCCCAGCAAGAGCTGACCTACACGAGCTGGCTGATGCCTATGCCTAAACCAGAGACCTGCCCAAGCAGGGACGGACATTCGGGCATGCACAACTGCAGCGTGACTTACAGCACCGAGGTGTGCAGAGGTGCGCAGGCAGGGAGCCGGGCCAAGCACCACGCTGCTGCGCGGACCCACTGGCTGTGGATCCCGGGGGCACCGCACATAGCGCCTGTGGGGCTTGCTGCCACTGCAGCCTCAGCATGGAGCAACACCCAGGAGAGGGATTTTTTTCACCTTTCCAGCACCACACCTACAAGACAGTGGCTTTTTAACCCTAAGTGATGGCCTGTTGCTAGAATTATCAGAGGGTTTCGAATGCCTTTGCCTCCTCAGTGACTTCAGAACTAATCAGCAGGCAACAGGAGAAAAAAGCTGCAAGCTGCTGAATGTGCAGCCTTGTCGGGATACAAGGTCCATTTTGAGGCACAACTGATCATTTAACAACATATCACCTCCTTGGTCCTCCCACACAGCTGTCTGGGGAGGAACTTGCTCCGGATGATGCTTTGAACCTGTGAAATCCCCTCCTAAAACCTGTCAAGTGCTGAACGTGACACAGATGAGGTGGAACCAAATCGCCCCATGAAAAGCAGATACTTCACAGTTCTTGCTTCATTGCAGCTAATGACCTGCTGACACCGGTGGGAGTTTTTAGCCAGGATCAGCTTCTGCTGAGGAGAGCAGTCAGCTATTCTGTTGGTAGCAACAGTGCTCTCAGGGGAACCCCACTGGTAAGGAAATGGCCAGTTACCTTAAAGCTGCTACTTACTAAGGCTTTCCCCAGCAAGATAGTATTAACAGCTACCAGAGAGGAGAGATCTTACGGGAGAGTCCCTGAGGATACAGGTTCCCAGGTGGCCATGTCAAAAAAAAATTAAAACCAAACAAAAGTAAAAAAAATAGAATCCCAGCAGCACACGAAGTTGGGACACAAGGAGAAAATGCCACAGAGCCCCAGCTTGCAGCTTCTCGGCAGGGCACCTGAGCTTACCTGAGGCTATGAGCTCTGCAACACATGCACATTGCCCAAGAGAAACTGAGATTATCATCTCTAGCGAGATTTAGCCTGCAATACTAATGCTGGCTGAACCAACTAATGTTTTTAACCACCTTCCCAGAACTGGGCTGAGATCAGGAAGTGCTACTGAAATGCAAAAATGTTGCTAATTACGCAACATGCGTTTTAAATGGAAGAGGCTTATTACTCCAGATCTATTTCCATAAGTTCAGAAAAGCACAGTCCTTAACATATCTCTCCAAATTGCCAGTACATCCAGTATTCCCAAAATAAAACTACTTTTTTGGGGGGGGTTTGGGGTGTGGAGGGGACAGAAATTTTTTCTTGTAGGACCTTTGCTGTCTGATATGCAGCCAACATTTTCATATTTTAATTATAAAAACCATAAAAATAAACCACTTCTACTGGTATCTCCACTCTTGGCTTTTTTATGCCCCCTCATCCAAGCAAACACATCACAGTATAAATGCCTAGTCATCTTAAAGAAGCCATTGCAAATACCAGTCATCGCACAGGCAAATTAGGTGTGTGCATACAGTTCAGAAAAATGTGATCTTCTTCTGTAAACCGTGACTGGATTTCTGCTTGAATGCTCTTTGGTGATGGGCACAAATACGATGTGCAATTGTAGAAGGGTCTTAGAAATGCTTGGCTAACTCATATTTGCTTTTCCTGTAGGAGAATGTGTGGGTGTGAGCTGTGGCACTCCCTGCATGACCCGGGGACTGTCCATCCTCTGCTCTGGGCTCATGCTGTTTTTCTGTACAGTGGATGTATGAGTTACACCTGGAGTTTCCCCACCCGAGTCACTCCCTATTGCAGGCAAGAATGGACTGTTTCCACTCTGAAAAGAAATTGAGGGAGAAGCCAGGTGATCCTTTGCTGCAATTCCCTTCCTATCCACAGAAGCTGCACTTTGCTGAACGTTTCCTTTAGCAAATGGGCCTTTGTTTCAGCAGGGACACGTTTAGGGTGGAGGCCACTATTGTTTCAGCCATCTGGTCCTATAAAGGATCATAAATGTTTCCTACGGAGAAAGGTGATGGCAACTCCCACTATTCTCCCTTCCCCATCAAGATGCCCAGAGACTTCACTCAGCTGCTAAAATGCTCTGACAGCTGGTATCTTCTCCTAAACATTGCCAAAAGATCATATGTACCCATCATCCTCTCCTTAGCCTTACCTTTTTTACTTATTTCTACTGTCTTTTTTTTAAAAAAGCTGCCATCAATAATTCACTAGACACAATTTCTCTTGATTTCCCACTCAAAATTGGCTCCTCTGTTATTCTAAGCAGTTGTTATTTAAGCAAAGCCTGCATCTCAATAAATAAAACTCACACATGAGAAATTCTCCAATGACTTTCTTCACATGACTTATGGCAAGACAGGTTCTGCTGAAGGGGTGAGTCATTCAGTAAAGGGAGAGGAAAACCGTTCACTATATTTGTGAAATCCCCAAACCGCTGAAAAGGCACCATTTACCAACAAAAAGCATCACAGGATGCACAGAACCAGCAAAGTGGGTGGAGCCTTTCCAGAAATGACTGTGACATGGGGGGCACCTTGTCAGAGGCCTCTCTTTCTCAGGATCCAGTACATTAAAATGAGTGGGAGGTACAGGTTTCTCAGCTTACACACTTATAGGATTTGCCCCTCAGAAATCAAAACTGCAAGTTTTCTTCTGTCCCTCAGGGGAATACCAGAACAACCCGGGCTTCCCCTGCTTCAGCTGCAGCCTCCTGAGCTGCACACCCCTTAGCACTGACATATAGAAAACAATGACCAGGATGCACCCGAGCCTCAAAATCAAACCTGTTTCTTCATTTCAGCTGTGTTCCTGCCACAGCTCGGATCAGAGGACTGCAGTGACTCCTTTGGCAGGCATGACTGGCCACAGTGCTAGGATCTAGCCCAGGTTTGAATTCAAAACCTCACACCACCTGCTAGCTTGTGGATATCAAGTTCTGTTGTGCCTCTACTCAAAATAAAACCACTCCCAAGAAGGCAGGCAGCCTTCACACTCATGCACAAACAGGGAGAATGTATATGCCCCTGGCACACTGGCTCCCTACTCCCATTAAAAACCTGCTAGTCAGAAGGATCCAGCAGCAACACACTAATAAATAAACTTTGCAAAAGCCCCAAAGTCTCTCGCTGTCCTCACAAGCTTTAAGCACCATGAAAAGCCACCTGCCACCCAAGCTTGTTTCAGGAAAGGGAGTGCATACAGGTAGGAGCTGCAGGTCACTCAAACGGTGGCACAGACCCAGTCGGTGGGAAGAGCAGAGCACCTTGAGTTTGCCTATCTGAGCACGTTGGGGTTTTTCCCCTCAGTGCTGGCCTGGAGCAGAGGGACAAGACAATTGCTGTTGCAAGAGATGCAGAAGGAGCAAATCTCAGGGGATACTTACAGCATTCAATGGGGTTTGATGCTGCTTGCAGAGAAATGATCCTGCCGCTGGACTCAGGGATGTGCACGCGGAAGACGAGCCGGACACGGGTGTTCTCCCTGCCGATGTCTGTCTCTCCCTTGCGCAGCTCAATGTCTGCATTCCTCAGCTTCAAAATCCCTGCACAGTCAATGCTGCCAGACACACATGCCGTTTAGCGTAACATTTCTGCTCTCAAACCACTTGGAAATAGGTGACAGTCAAGAGAATTAAGCTGTTTTGCTTCAGTCTCTGGGTTAAAAGCAGCTCCAAATACTTCTTCTGTTTAGGAACTAGATATTGCCATTTCAGCAGTTACAGGGGAAGAAATCCCAGGCATGCAGCAAGTGAAGGATGCTGCTGGACCCCTCCCCAAAGAGTGTGGGCCTGGTGGCTCAGCACATACCAGGCATGTCCCAGCCGAGGGCCAGGGGTGGCTTTTACTCTGGCAACAGCAGAAGCCACTCTCCAAACATCATAACTGCGAGTCTTATTTCCCTCCTGCGCTAAGCACAAGAGCACACGTGGCAGAGCCCACCCCGGCAAACCAAGGCAGGAAGAGTGAACCAAAACAAGGAGAGCACACCGGGGCAGGCAATAAGCTGAGCCTGTGCCACAGCCCTCTGTGAGACAGAGAGCATTAAAGCCTCCACCACCAGCTCTGTGACAGAGCTCAGTGCCCAGAGACTGCACAGCAGCTATAGCCTGCACGTGGGCAAATTAGTTCAGCTCCACAGGGAATCACAGCAGTTGAACCAGCTAATTGCAGGCACCATCCAGGCACATTTTCCCCACAGTCTGTAATGCAAGCATTGAATTCAACTCCAAAGCAGGAACCAAAATGCTCTCTCCTCCTTTTGGACAAGGTAGGTGCTACTGCTACAAGTGGGCTCTCCAGCCCTGGCCCAGGTCACCGTGTCATCCTCTTCAAAGCCCTGGGGTGCTGTTCCCAGCCAAGGGAATAGCCTGGCCGCACAGAAAATGGTTCTCTGCTCCCATTCACCGTGTCCCTTCACAAAGGGAGGATGTAGGGAGCAGGATGGGGCCGAGCAGCAATGAAAGGATTAGGATTGCTTAAATCAACATTGCAACTCAATATTCGTGTAAATGCAGATTAACTTCTTAACTGAAGAGTCCAGTGTAACCTAGAGAACATGCCTGTCTACATTAAGAGAGTGTGCCAATTAATAGTTAAAGAATCTGAGATCTTCAGCTCAGCAATAGTTCTCAGAAGGTGCAGTGAGCACTGTTATTGAACAGGCACTGCCAACCCATTTTGATACCAGTTTTAAAGACACGCTGTTTTTCTTCTTTTGATATGAATTGAAATCACGTTTTGGGAGGCATAAACCCCAAGCTGTTTCCTACACCCACACTGTTCCTTGCCATTGCATGTGTGCAGGGGTTTATTACTCCAGGGTTACTTGTTAGGAACAATCATGTTCCATTCAGCATTTGGCTGCTTAAGTTTGAGATGTGGACTTTTATTTATTTCCTTGGGTGCAGAGGGAAGGAGAGGCTTGAAGGAAAGGGAGGAATGAGGTATAATTTCTGAAAAAAAAAGATATATAAAGAAAGAATGTGGATTTTGTGATGAAGTAGGGGGGCTTAAAAACATAGCTGCTCTGCCAATTTTGTCAGTATCCTCTGAAGGATGGAGATACAGCTCTTCCCTCTGCAGAGCAATCACTCTCATGCTGCCTGGCACACATTCAAGCCTGAAGTTTCAGACTGGTGCCCACTTTGTCCCTCTGCCTCCATAAAACTGGAAGGACTAATACAGAAAAGATGTGCCTGTACTTACTTTTCTGTTAACCTATTACCACAAGACAGTGCGATATCATGGCCAGAGCATTTGGCTGAGTTCAGAAGAGATGTTTTCTATCCCATTAAATGCTGTAAAATGAATCGTACACCTTTCCTCCGCTGTCTACTGCTCCTTGCTTCCCCTTGTGTCCCTGCAGCATAAGGACTTGAGATTCGAGTCTGGTTTTCCTTAGCGCCCTACAAAACCATTCTGACTTTGAAGGTAACAGATGATTACAACATAGCCACTGCAGCAATTGGGGTAAAGAGCAAAAATGCCTGCACAGTCAGCTGATGAATGGTAACTCTTTAAGCAGCTTTAACCCAGGTTCTTGTTACTGCTGCTCATGCTTTTGTAAAAAGGGTCTTACACTCATATATCATCCCAATGCTTTGGAAAGGGGAGTCCCTCCAGAGCAGGCATCATTATTCATTTAAGTGGCTCCTTTCCAAAGAGAAGGAACTTCACATCCTCCTCAGCTTTGCTAATAAAAAGAAATATGCTTACGTTGCTTTCATGTTGTTTTTGGGTTCCAGTGGGATCTCTAAAACTTTGGTGTTGCCAATGATTTTTTCATAGCTGGTGGTGGTGACGGTTTTTCCCGTAATGCGATGGACTTGATAGAAAGCGTGAGGTTTAAGTATCCGTTCATCTGCTGTCCCAATGAAGATCTGAAGACCCAAGGGTTTGTTCTCCATGTAACCGTGAAGCTGACAAGACATTAAAAATCTATTATCACTCCCAAGGCCTGCAATGCCTTCATGTCAGGAAGCCAAACAGATCTACAGACATATCTACAGATATGGATATATATATAAAGATATGTGTAGTACAGTACATTTTTTAGACAGACATCCTCTTAGCAGTATTTGCCCATGATACATATGGAAGGGAGCTAATAGAAAACATGTAATTAATGGTTATAATACTAAATAGATCAAGAAGAAAAAATAATATATTAAAAAGAAAAAATTCCAGACAAGCTCTCCATTACCAGAAAGTTGTTGGTTGTCTCCAAAACAGATTGATAAATCCCCTCAAAAGATATATTTTTGAGTACACTTTAATTTGCAGTGACTGATTCCTAAATGAGGTTCAAAAGATTTTTCTCTGTGGGGTGGATAAAGCTGCAAAGCTGCGTTTACTCCCTGCACCTGCAGCCTTGGGCAGTGATTCCTGCC